CATGATTTTTCTCTTTTCCCTTCCTCAGACGGTGAAGCAGATGTGGCCGTTTATCTGCCAGTTTGTGGAGAAGCTGTTCAGAGAGACAATCGAGCCGGCGGTGAAGGGCGCCAACCCTCATCTCAGCACCTTCTGCTTCACCAAGATTGACATGGGCGACAAGGTGACAAGATAAGAACACAGTGTTGTGAATGCACTCCAAAAGGCCATGGCAGGACACTTCTGCAATCTGGGTTATTCGTACTAATACACCAGCTAGTACTTTGTTTTATAGGCTTTTATTGCCTGTAGAATAACACTTTTATTTTTAGATGTTAGCTTTGTGGGAAATCCTGGAGAATTAGTGTCAGCACCATCTGTCAGAGTGTACGTGTTCAGATCTTTTATTGCATGTTTCTATTTGTGACTCCTTTATTGACTCGCATGAACTGATTTAATCAGAACTGGAAAGTTTCTTCGCCGCACACCCAGATTTACCTCACACGTAGAATTATGCAGAGCTGGTAAACATTAAATAAAGCTTTTACTGCATGTCTTCTCTTTTTTTCTGCAGCCGCTGAGAGTGAATGGAGTGAAAGTTTACACAGAAAATGTGGACAAGAGGCAGGTTATCATGGACCTGCAGATCAGGTAGACCGCTCAGATTCATTCATTGTTGAATTCACTTGACTTGGCCAGTGATGTAATCTTAATTGCACTTGTTTCTTTCAAATTATGACTTCTTATGTGCAAATCTTAGCGTCAGGCTGTCGTTTAAAACTTATAGTTTGTTTAATTTGGTCTGAATCAGTTGATGAGTTTCTAAACTCAAGTGGTTTAGTTTGTTTTCACACAGAGAAAACTCAGACTACACATGAGGTCACTTTGTCGTTACTTCAGTAAATGTTTATTAAAGTGCTCATTTTGTGCGCTTCCTTTTTCTCAGGATCATAATTGGGAATAATTGTCAGTTGTATTACCTGATTGTTTTTTTCCAAATAGAAAGGAACATTTCCACGCGCTCGTTTTTTAAGCCCATGCAGAAATGCTCACTAACACATCACATGTAGATTCAGTCACCATCAGATTATTTAAATAGATTTGGATGGTGGATGTACAGCACTTTCATCAGTTTGTGTGTAAACTTGCCCTTTAAAATCTGAATAAATGCATGATGAGTTTTTATTTTTATCTTCATATGAATACACACATTAATCCCCTTCTACGTTCTTCTCGCCCTTCCTTTCAGTTTTGTCGGGAATACAGAAATTGACGTGGACATCAAAAAGTACTACTGCAGGGCTGGAATCAAAAGTATACAGGTACGAATCCAAGACAGATGCAACATGTTAAGGTCAGTAGTTTTATGCCTATTTATCTCATATAAAGACATGAAAAATACAAAGTCTGTTGTCACAACACTTCCCTCCCTCCAGCTTCTGCTTTTCCAGTTCAGGGCCCAGTAGGAGTATAGATAACCAGTGTAGATGATCAACAAACAGTCGCACCTACAGCCTGCACATTTAACTCTTCTATAGTTTAATCTTATCTTTTTTAACAGCTGTTTTTGACAGATACACTCAAAACAGATTATCCTGCTTACCCAGCAACAAAGGGATAGTTAGCTTGTAACTCATGTTAGCCGCTAATGTAAGTAAAGCAGGTAGCTAAAGACAACAAATAATAAAATTAATAAATAAATACCTTCATCAGAGGACAATAAACCTAGGTTAACCCAAAATGTGATTGTTGGACTTACATTTTTAAGAAACATTTTTCCTCTTGGATGGTATTTTTCTTCCACCCCATCAGATTTGCTCACTTTTTACTACTTCATGTTGGGCACTGAAGGCTAAGTGTAATCTTAAGGCCACAAACTACCTGAAAACCTTGTGCTTACTGTGTACCTCTGTGCATATGAGGAAGAGATACACGCACTTTAATTCTGGTCATTCTACTTATAAGAAAACAAAATGGTGAATTGAAATTGTTCATGTCTTTATTATTGAAGTTTATTTTATTTTTAATTGGAAGTTAAATATGTTACAAAATATCAAATTGTATTCCAGTCTAAGATGATTTGCTCTGA